CAAAAAAAAAAAAAAAAAGAAAGAAAAAGAGAAAAACAGGTTGAGAGTGTTTAGTGTGTGTTCACAATGGAAAAGGGGATAAAAACAAGTACCAAGAAATGGAGCCTCACGGATGACAAAAGACATTTCCAGCCGGGAGCAGTGGGTCACGCCTATAATCCCAGTGCTTTGGGAGGCCAAGATGAGAGGATTGCTTGAGCCCGTGGGTTCGAGACCAGCCTGGGCATCTTGGCGAGACCTCATCTCTACAATAAGTCAAAAAATTAGCCAGGCGTGATGTGTTCCCTGCTCCCTTGCCTAGTGTTTCACTAATTTGTTTTCTTATTGTCTGTCTCCCTTGCTAGAATGTAAGCTCTGTGAGGACAGAGATTTTTGTGATTTATTCTCTGCTAGTTCCAGCTCCTTAAATAGTCCTTGAGTGGTAGATTACCCCCCAAAACATCATACATTCTTTGCATCCCCTCCCTCCAACATACTCCCTGGAGTTTGTTTCCCCACTTTGAAGCTCAGCTGACCTTAGACTTGCTTTGATGCTAATGGAATACACTAGAAGTGATATTGCATGAGTTCCAAGCCTAGGCCTCTAGAGGAGTGTCAGCTTCCACTGTTGCCCTAAGAATTTTTCCACCAGCTTGAGAACAAGATGGGATAGCCTCCTGGAGGATAAGAAACCATGTGGGGAGAGACCCCAACCATCCCATTGTCCTGATTGAGGCCTCAGAAGTGAAAGTGAGGCCATCTTAGCTGCTTGCTTTATTGTGGGATATTATGAGGATTAGAGAAAATGTATGTAAAGTGTATGTTCCTGGCACATGAGGCCATACCCATTACTGTTACTTCTCCTTTTATTTTATTTTATTTTATTTTTTATTTTATTTTATTTTTTTTGAGTTGGAGTCTCACCCTGTCGCCCAGACTGGAGTGCAGTGGCCGCTCCCGGCCACTGCAGCCCCAACCCGCTGGGCTCCGGCGATCCTTCCACCTCAGCCTTCCGAGTAGCTGAAACTATAGGCACGCGCTACCATGCCCGGCTAATTTTTTATTTATTGTAGAGATGAGGTCTCGTCAAGTTGCCCAGGCGGGTCTCAAACCCGCAGGCTCAGACAATGTACTCACCTCAGCCTCCCAAAGGCGTGGGATTACAGGCTGAGCCACTGAGCCCAGCTTCTCCTTTTCTTTTAAAAGGAAAATAACTTATAGGTCAGATGTTGAGGTATCACTGCCAAAAGTCCTATACAGCAATATCAGTCCTGGATGAATGGTACTAAAAGAGAATCATAGAGATGTGATCGTAGTGGACAATCACTCTTTTATACACAATTTAAGAAACTATCTGTATTTTGGAGATTTTAAAAAACCCAAATATAACTACCGCACATTCCAGTAATCCTACTACTATTTATCCAAAGGAAAAAAAATCAGTATATCAAAGGGATACCAGGACACACCTGTTTGTTGCAGCCCTATTCACAATAGCAAAGATATGGAATCAGCCTAAGTGTCCATCAGAGGACAAATGGATAAAGGAAATGTGGTGTATGTGTATACACAATGGAATACTATTTGACCATGAAAAAAGGAATGAAATCATGCTGTTTGCAACAACATGGATGAAATTGGAGGTCATTGTGTTAAGTGGAATAAGGAAGGCATGGGAAGACAAATGTAGCATGTTCTCATTTATATGTGAGAGCTTAAAAAGTTGATCTCATGGAAGTAAAGAGTAGAATGATAGATACCAGGAAAGGTGTGTGCGAGGGAGAGGCATTGAAGAAAGGTTGGTTAATGGGCACAAACATACAGTTAGATAGAAGGAAAAAGTTCTAATGTTCAATAGCAGAGGAGAGTGACTGCAGTTAACAACAATGTATTGTATATTTCAGAATAGCTAGAAGAGAGGACAGGGAGTGTTCCCAACACATAGAAATGGTAAATACTTGAAGTGATGGATATCTTAAATACCGACCTGATTGTTGCACATTATACACATGTGACATAATATCACATGTGCCCCATAAATATGTACAAATAGCATGTATCAATTAAAAAATAGAAACTACCAGTATTTCAAAGGACTTTGGGAGCTACTGCCTGATTGGTCAGAGGGCATGACATGCTGCTTGATGTCCACTAGGGAGCGATAAACACATTTCATTAAGGAATAGTGCTTCAAGCTATATGCACTTGCCAGACGGTAAATGTTACTTTAAGTTTATTATTTTAAATTGGCTGTAAAATTTTTAATCTGTTCATTTTGTACTTAAAATTATTAAGAGGTTGCTTTATTCTTTTTAAGGTATTAAAAGAACTCATAATGTATATTTTCAAGAAAGCCAGCCTTTGCAAGTTCTTTTTGACAAGAATGTATGTACTAATACACTAGTGATTCAACCAAGGTAATGAGTTCTCTGTTGCTTATTTTTCTGAATATAATATGGTCACAGAGTGAGGAATTAATGCCCTTGCTTTTCAATCTGTAACTTTAAAAAAAAAAAAAGGTGGCCGGGCTTGACTCAGCCTGTAATCCTAGCACTTTGGGAGGCCAAGATGAGGAGTGGATTGCCTGAGCCCATGAATTCAAGACCAGCCTGGGCAACTTGGCGAGACTTCATCTCTACAATAAATCAAAAACCTTAGCCAGGTGTGGTAGCATGAGCCTGTAGTTCCAGCTACTTGGGAGGTTGAGGTGGAAGGATTGCCTGAGCCCAGTAGGTGACCGTGATCATGCCATGCACTCCAGCCTGGGTGATGGAGTGAGACTCCAACTCAAAAAAAAAAAAAAAAAAAGCTGAACATGACTTGGAGAAATCACCTTACAAAGTCAAGAAGAAACCTTGAAAAATATAATAATAACTGCCTAATGGTGGCAATAAAAATTTAATGGCCAAGAAATTTCTAAAAATATCCCATCAGTGGCTTTCTATAAAACTTTCAAGTTCTATAAAAAAATAGATAAATATGCCGGGCTCGGTGGCTCAGCCTGTAATCCTGCGCCTTTGGGAGGCTGAGGTGAGTGGATTGCCTGAGCCCTGCC